CTGTAGGAAAGTAACTGTATCTAGGAGCTAGTAGGCTGGGGCATCACATGGACTAAGTGTCCAGTCTCTTTCTTTCCCTCTTGAAATGTTGTCCTTTGTGGAAAATGGTGACCTTCCTAGGTGGACAAAGAATGTTGGTTTGAAAAGGAATTGCTTTACTTTGGAGTTATTGGGGGGGGGGGGGATGCCTTTTTCTCTTAGTACAAGTTCACAGCCTGAACTTGTGAGGGGTTATGCTTCAAATGTCTTTATCTCTACTGAAACTGCTCTTAAGGTCCAATTGATGGATGCAGTGGCTGCTGCTTACTCTTTCCCTTGACGTTGACCATAAATATTTGGCATGGTGAGCCAGATTTTCTTGCTGTTGTCAATCTCCTCTTGGTTGGCCTTCTTGAGTTGGAGCTATTGTGGTCATCTTCTTAACTTTGTGACTGTGCTTTTTCACTTGAGTTTGTTCTCTTTCCACACTGCCTGTGAGCATTTTCCGAGGCCTAGCTTCATGCCTCTACCTCTTTTCCCAAAAAACATGCTCCTTCCCACTCATCCAGTATATGACTTCTGGGCAGAGAACCGCTTCACCCCCCCCACTCCTGTCTGCATGCAGTGACCCCAAGTCAGACTTTGCTGCAAGTCATTTCTTTTCTTTTTTTTTTTTTTTAAAGATTTTATTTATTTATTTGAGACAGAGAGAATGAGAGAGAGAGAGCACATGAGAGGGGGGAGGGTCAGAGGCAGAAGCAGGCTCCCTGCCGAGCAGGGAGCCCGATGCAGGACTCGATCCCGGGACTCCAGGATCATGACCTGAGCCGAAGGCAGTCGCTTAACCAACTGAGCCACCCAGGCGCCCCTGCAAGTCATTTCTTTATCTCCAGCTGACCCCTGGTCATATTCTCAAGGCCATATTTTCTCCAGCTGAGGGAGCCCTTCTTTGCTTGCCAAGGTGGCCTGTCCTTCATAACTGTAAGGACCTAGCCCATCTCCTTTTCCTTCTTGATTTGGGCTGTATTTGCTGTTTGCTTTCTGTCCCTACAACTTGATTTAGACTTTGTATCTTTGCTCTTAGGGACTTCAGACATCATCTGGTCCCACCCTGGATGAGAAAGATGAGACCCAGTGGTTTTATTCATTAATTTAGTTAACTCACATTGATGGAGTACTCTGAGTATGAGCTAGTTACTGTAGTGGAAAAGTAAAATACAGAGCTGAAAGGCACAGTCTGGACAAGAAGGCCAAAAAAGCAATTGCCATAAAGTATCCTAAGTGCTTAGAAGTGGGGGGACACGTAATGAGCTCCCCCAGGTTTCAGAGATCTTGCATGTTCACTGCTCCAGGACCTAGAACACAGTGTTCTGGGAACAATCAAGTATTTGTTGAATGAATCAGTGATCATCTGAGAATGAAATGAGAATAAAACGCTGTCTATAGAAAAGATATAAACCAAGAGACATTTTTTAAGTGCAGTTTGGAGAATTTCAGGGAAAACTTTAAGTTCAACCAAAATGACCCGGTTGTAACCCCAAGAAGGGATGTTTGGAATGTGTTCGTAGCCAGAATGCTTAAACTTAATTTTGTATCCTCAGAAGAAAGACTGCATTTCTAGAAGAGGGTTGGGATGGTGTCTATGGAAATTGGGGTGACGGGTCCAAGAGAGGAACTGGGTGATATGTCTGGAGCACTGCCTGGGAGCACTGCCTGGGGGCCCTGGCCAGAGGAGCTGTGTGCAGTCCGCCAGTGAGCCTCTGCACCACCAAACAGATGGGTGCATCTCTGTTGATGCCTCTAGCCAGGAGAATCTTTCCCTTGCTTTGCTTCCACACTCCTAATACCTTCTGATTAGAACGTGGCTTCACATGGAGATTTCCTGCCAAGGAGAGAATGTGAATGGTTGAGAACTCCATATCCAAACCGCTCAGATCAGATCCTCGTCTTGGGGTGCTGGCTAATCTCTTTGTTTGCCCCTCTGTAGAATGGGGAGAATGGTAGGACCTACCTCTTTGTTGCCTGGCACCTGCTAAGTGCTTAGTAAATATTAGCCCTCATCAGTATTTATAAACTTAGTAACTGGTCTTCTGGTTAGTACACAGTCATCTTTGAGTTTAGGTGGCCTGACTCAGTTGCCCTGGACCTGCTTGCTCCTGGGTGCATTGACAAAGCTGAGAACCGGAGGGGAAGTCATGACAGATACACTTTGCCCAGGCTGCTCATCCAGCGAATCCAACTGCTGTTGTCAGGGAAGGTTTCCTGGAGAAGGACGAGCTTGAGCTGAGTACGCTGGGAGAGTGGTAGTACAGCACCACAGTAAGGGGAAAGGCCATGATGGGTACAGAGGAATAGGTGAGCAAGCAGGTGGTATGTGAGCTGAAGGAGTTTTAGGGTAAAGGGTGGACAGGTATGAATATGGAAGTGGAGGGAAATGAGATTGGAGAGGAAAGCGGGGCCAGCTCTTGAAGAAATAATTAATGACAATATGTAACTTATTGGGCACTAACAATGTGTCAGGTGTGATGTTAATCCCTTCACTCATTGTACTAGCCAGGTTTGGTGCCAAGTGCTTTGTGTATATTACCTTGTTTCATCTCCGCAACAACCCTGTGATGTAGGTGCTTACGTTACAGGAGAAGTTAGTGTCCAGTGTCAGCTGCTGGTCTCTGCCTGGTGATTCAGCCTGCACACGGTTGCAAGGTTAACACTTAATATCTTTTGTACCTTTTTTTTTTTTTTTTAAGATTTTATTTATTTGACAGAGAGAAAGACAGCCAGAGAGGGAACACAAGCAGGGGGAGTGGGAGAGGGAAAAGCAGGCTTCTCACAGAGCAGGGAGCCCGAGGCGGGGCTCGATCCCAGGACCAGAATCATGACCTGAGCCGAAGGCAGACGCTCAACAACTGAGCTACCCAGGCGCCCCTGTACCTTTTTTTAAAAAAAATTTTTTTTAAGAGTTTATTTGTCAGAGAGAGAGAGAGTGAGCACAGGCAGGGGGAGTGGCAGGCAGAGGGAGAAGCAGGCTCCCCACTGAGCAAGGAGCCTGATGTGGGACTTGATACCGGGACCCTGGGATCATGACCTGAGCCGAAGGCAGACGCTTAACTTGACTGAGCCACCCAGGCGTCCTTCTTAAATACATTTAAAAGCTTTTGTGACTCCTATTACCTGGTGAAGTCCAAGCCCACCAAGATCTTCTGGCTTTATGGAACCATCTTGGGTTAAAATGTGAAAATATGTGTATCTTAGAATGGAATAAACACAGTATAGGTGCAGATATGCATCGAGCTCAGAGAAATGTCAGTCAGTGAGACAGGTAAGATGCAGAACGATGCGTATATGGCCCGTTTGTGTAAAAAATGAGAGAGAGACAGATACACATGAAATAGGTTTCTAAGTGTAGAAAAAAATTTCTGGAATGATAGAGAAGAAACAGTGGTTGCCTTTGGGATGAGGCCCCAGAAATCTAGCCTGTTAGACTGAACTAGCTTTGTTTTGCGTACCCTTTTGTACAGGATGGTTTTCTTTTCACTATATATGTGTATTATAGTTTCAGTTTGAAGATAATAAAAACAAATTTTTAAGTGTTTGCTATGTACGTAAGCAGTCATTTAGAGAGGGAATGTAGCACAGACTCTCAGAACAAGGACTCTATCCAGACTGCTTGGGTTCGGTTTCTGTCTCTGCCACTTACTAGTCATTCATCTCTAAGTCACCCAGCCTCTCTTTACCTCATTTTACCCTGTCTGAAAATGGGGGAGGTATCACGAGCTCTCTCCTGGAGTTAATAATCAGGCGTTAGTGACTTAATATTTGTGAAGTCCTTAGACACATCCAGAGTTCCCGACTGGTATGTTTTTTTTGTTGGCGGCAGAGTCATTATGGCCCAGTGCTGGGCACCGCAGTGCGCACCAAGAGGGGGCCAGCCTGCCTCCATGCGCTTACAGTTCCTCTGGGAGGGGAAGGCATACAGAGCTAGCGACAAGCAATGGCAGTGGAGCTCGGACAGGCTTCGTGGGGACTAAAGGGACCCAGGATGGTGTCATCCAAACAGTGACTCTTAAAAATGGGTAACTTCTAGAAAAAGTGAAAGGGGAGAAAAGGGCACCCAGGGACTTGTTCCAGGGGTGATGTGTGCCCCAGATAGATGGAGAAATGAGACAGGAAAGAGCCTGAGGGGAGCCCGAAATTGGGATATAGCGTGTGATGACAGGTCATTGTTATATGGCAGAGTTTTTTAGCCTATATAAAATAATGATATGATTTATAAATGACATCTTAAGCTTGATGAGACGGGGTAGCTGGACCTTGCTCTTTGAAATGGCCATGAGGTGTTCCTGTGTAATTTACTTAATGAATCCCTTAATGCAGCCCATGTGGGTTACTTCCAGATGGAAGCTTGCAGACAGTGCTGCCAGTGAGTGTCTCTGATATAGGCCTCTACATTTACTGAGTCTATTTCTAGGATTCATTCCTAGATGGTATCACTTTTTTTTTTTTTTTGACTGTGTTCCTTGTGTCTGGGTCGCTGTCCAATCTGTGCTTTTTCAAATTGTGCAAAGAATCTTAATGGGATAGTTTTTGAGTGCAGAATTAGAGCTAGAGATTACCTGGGGGGAAAAAATCTAATTTTCTTATTAGAAATAATTTTGGGATTAGGTGTCAGTGAGATGGTATTTACGTCGGGGAACCTGGGAATACCTGAGTCTTCCCCCACCCCACCCCCAGGTGTATGCCTGAGAACAGAGGCAGAGGGAAGCTGGCTCAGCTCCCAGACTCAGCTCCCAGACCTGAGTGCTGCAGGCTGTGATAACCTAGGCAGGGGAGGCAAGAGCAGTTGGTCCCTCTCCCCAGCTCCCAAAGACCTATCCTACCCCTGGGTCTCAAGGTAGCAGAGAATGCGGCCACAGTAGCTTTGTACTTTACAGTGCGAGGTTATCCCTTCCTGAGCCTTGTTCTTGCCCGTCTTCCTTCAGCTTGGGGCTGAAAGGGGAGGGAGTGGTGGGCAGGGAAATGGGAGGAGCCATGACCTCCTTCCCCTCTGGAGGACACAGGGCAGCCCTCCTTTTAGTTTGTTGCCAGGACCTTGAGAGTTGGGGCCAGAGCAGCAGGAAGGTAAGTAATATTTTTGAAAAATTTGGTAGCTGTGTGGTATTTCGAGGAGGAAGAGTTTGGGTTTGTTTGGGTTTTTTTTCACTAATAGTAGGCTAGCGTGAAGTATTTCATTAGAAGATAAAATGCTTGGGCGCCTGGGTGGCTCAGATGGTTAAGCGTCTGCTTCGGCTCAGGTCATGATCCCAGCGTCCTGGGATCGAGTCCCACATCAGGCTCCCTGCTCCTTGGGAGCCTGCTTCTCCCTCTGCCTCTCTCTCTCTCTCTGTCTCTCATGAATAAATAAATCAAATCTTTAAAAAAAAAAAAAAAGATAAAATGCTTTTCTCTGACTAGTGTCCAGCTTCTTTCAGAGCAGAGAGCTCCAGTTTCTGAGTGAGACTCAAGGTGTGCCAAGTGTTGTGGTTTATGGGGTTAAGCCTCACCACTGTACTGAAGAAACTGAGGCACAGAGTTCAAAGAAACAGAGGCATAGAGTTAATAAGTGCCATTCATTTAACTGATAATTACTGAGAACTGGGATTCTTATCTAGGTCAGTCTGACTCCCATACCCATAACTGCTGCACTTTGTCACTGCCTGTTTCCAGGAAATCTCTTTGTTACTGTGTAGCATCTTTTTTTTTTAAGATTTTATTTTTATTTATTTATTTATTTATTTATTTATTTATTTATTTGCCAGAGAGAGAGCTCAAGCAGGGGGAGCGGCAGGCAGAAGGAGAGGGAGAAGCAGACTCCCCACGGAGCAGGGAGCCCGATGCGGGGCTCAATCCCAGGACCCTGAGATCATGACCTGAGCCGAAGGTAGACGCTTAACTGACTGAGCCATCCTGGCGTCCCATGTACTGTGTAGCATCTTACCTACAAGGTAAAAGCATGAGGTTTTTCTCCCATGAGGTTGTAAGCTCCCGGAGAGCAGGAATTGTGTCTGTTTCATTCACCCCTGTACCCCCAGTGCCTGGAGCAGTGTCGGGCACGTAGTAGGACCTCAGTAAATGAGGTCCTGGAAGTCAATATGGTGGTAAGCCACTGCAGGCCTGCACTGTAGGGCTGTCTTCTCTGCCTGGGGAATAACAGGAGGGATGGGGAGGAGGCTTCTTGAATGTCCTTACTGCTCAGTACCTGACCTGCTGCGATGTTTATGGGGAAGAACGGGCTCCCTCGCCTTGACTCTGACTTGCTGTTCTTTCTGAGAGATGGGAAGGCTTGCTGGGTGTGCAGAACTGGAGTCAGTGTTCCCAGCCTGGAGGCAGGAGCTGCTGTAATTATCCACTGATCAAATTTTTCAAGGGTGCCTTAAATTCTCAGAAATGGTCCCGAATCTGAAGTGCTTATATCTAAAGTTTATATCATTCCTCTCCATAGTAAGAGAAATAATTTATACATTACAGTTTGATTTAACTGTATGTAGGCTGCTTCTTTTTTTTTTTTTTTAAAGATTTTATTTATTTATTTGACAGAGAGAGACAGTGAAAGAGGGAACACAAGCAGGGGGAGTGGGAGAGGGAGAAGCAGGCTTCCTGCCGAGCAGGGAGCCCGATGCAGGGCTCGATCCCAGGACCCTGGGATCATGACCTGAGCCGAAGGCAGACGCTTAACGACTGAGCCACTCAGGCGCCCTTGTATGTAAGCTTCTTGATAAGTACTTGTTTTTCCCCATTTGAGGTTAATTTTAGACAGATTCCATAGTGTAAATTGTTAAGAATAAGTAGCATAATTAAGTTTTCTTAAATAACTTTCTAATGGATACATTAGTTTTCATTAGTTCAACTTGCTTTTATGTTTGGAAACTTTTTGGGTAATGAAGGCTAAAACTAGGCTCAAACAAAGCTGAGTGGATCAAGGCCTTTTCATGCTGTAACATACTAACAAAAATAAACTAGTGGTTTTTAATAGATGTAGATTTTTTGGAATGTTTTAACAATTTGGGTTTGAAAAAATCACATCAATGCTTGTGACTTCTAAAAAATGATTTTCCTCAGTCGACTGTACTTCAGTTAAAAAAAAAAAAAGATTTACTTTAAGTCATTCTCCTTAATTTATACCCAAATTTCCATCAGTGTCACAATTTTTTGCTGTGAATATTTTCATCGTGCTTGGCTGTATTGGATGTGAAAACTTCTAATGGTCCAACGCCATTTTAGTTTATCAAAAACCTAGTTTTACCTGAGCAAACTTTTTCAGAAGTTTCAGAGCCAAATTCATTTATCCTTTGGTGATGTGTGGTAGTCATTTGTAGATAAACCTTTGCTGACTGCTTCCCGTCTCCTGCTTTAACTTCTTTTGAAGATTTCTGTTTAATAAAGTGTTTTGGCTCAGAGTGTTTCTCTAATAAAATTCTTTCAAAAGTTCTAATACTTGGGGGCGCCTGGGTGGCTCAGTCGGTTAAGCGACTGCCTTTGGCTCAGGTCATGATCCTGGAGTCCCTGGATCGAGTCCCGCATCGGGCTCCCTGCTTGGCGGGGAGCCTGCTTCTCCCTCTGACCCTCCCCCCTCTCATGAGCTCTCTCTCTCTCTCTCTCTCATTCTGTCTCAAATAAATAAATAAAATCTTTAAAAATATATATATTAAAAAAAAAGTTCTAATACTTGTTTTGTTTTAAAGGCAACAGGTTTGAGTTACTCTTGATTTTTTTTTTTTTTAGTTACTCTTTTGATTTTATAAGAAAACTAAACACAAGTCTTAGAATACAGCAGGTTGATTTATCACCAGAAAATTTGACAGATAGCTAGATCAGCCCTCCACAGGACTGGCAATAGATTTTTTTTTCCCCCACTAAATGTTCACCGTTTTTCTTGGTATGAAACTGAATATATGGTGATTACCATCCATTTCATTTACTTTTCTACTTATTTATGTGTTGACTGTTTAAAAAATAGCCTTCGATCTTCCTCTTTCTCTCCCTAACCCCAAAATATCCTCAATTTAAACAAAATTGCCCTTCATCTGTATGACTGTTTAACACATTTGGCCTTTTTTTTTTTTTTTTTTAAACCTGTGCTATTTTGAAACTACATTTCAACTCTGTTGACTTTATGGTTAGAACATTTTTTCTTCTGCTTAGATTAAATTATTACTTGTTTGTAGATTACTGAATAAAAAAGCTTTTCAGATCCACTAATGGTATCTTGCTTTGTTATTATAGAGGAATGTCCTATTTTATGGTGATAAATGTTACAGAGCAAGTGTCACGACAAGAGGCAGTCAGATGTCACCATGTGGGGGCAGTTTGTTCCCCCATTAGACCAGAAGCTCCTTGAGGGCAGGCACAGATACCCTCCCTCTGCATCCTGAGTGCCCCGAGCATTCACAGCATTCAGGCACCACTCGTAGGGTTGACCGTGTTACTGGAGGATGCGTATAGAAACGTCTTCCTTTTAACTATGGTAGATTGAACGTTGATCAAAATTTTTATTTAGTAGGGTTTGTTCATTTTCCTATGTACTTGAGTTTTCAGAGCTCAGTTTAGGATAAATGGGCTTCAGATTTCGTCAACTGAGCAGTTATTTACTAAGTTTTTAGTTTTTGTATTAACAGCAGTTTTAGTAATTTCTTGAACAGAAAAAAATAATCTTGGCCTCCTTAAACTTTTTCATTGACATTTTTTACTCTGATAGAACTTTAGTGTCTCCAGGGTTTTTGGATGATTCTTTAAATTTTTTTTTCTTATTTATTTATTTGAGAGAGAGAGAAAACACAAGAGGGGGGAGGGTCAGAGGGAGAAGCAGACTTCCTGCTGAGCAGGGAGCCCGACGGGGGACTCAATCCCAGGACTCCAAGATCATGACCTGAGCTGAAGGCAGTCGCTTAACCAACTGAGCCACCCAGGCTCCCCTGGACGATTCTTTAAATTAACATGCTTAGTATTAATTCCTTGAGAACTGTTTCTGTATAATAGGCTAGCGTTCAGTTTTGCACATAATTTTTCTTTGGGAGCAGTCTCCGGGCGCAGAAATAATCCAGGCTTGGTGGACCCAGAAGTGTCACTTCCTTTGCTCTGGCTTTGGCTCTCCATGCCTGCCTTTCCATTTTGATGTTTTAATGATACCCTTCCTGCTCGGTGATTTGTGTTCAGGAAGCGAGGCAGTGATTACTTTTGTTTCTGCTTTGTGAACTTCCTCCCCCACTTCCTATTTTTACCGAGCAACTACAGGAAATGAGGCAGCTCCTGGCTGACTGCTCCTAAGCACTGATTTTAGGTGGCAGAGGACAAGGGCCTGAGCCATTTAAAACATTTTCCTCCTTGGTCTTTTCACTACCTCCTTCCTGTAGGAATCATAGGAACATGATTTTGTGATTGGGTTGAGATGATGACATGTCCTCCTCACCCTTGGTGGGGTTGGGTGCTGCTCAGTTGGAGGGCGGCGCTTTGGTGAAATAGTAGGTAAGAGGTTTTCTCCATTATAACAGTAGGAGTGGGACATCGTAGCCATGTGGCCCAGCTGCTGTCGTGGGTGAATAGTTTGGCAGAAGCAAAGGGTGGCTTGAAGGGACCTGTTCTAAAAGTAAAGCTGGGAAGGTGGACTCTGGTCCTCCCAGGGTGGGAGCCCTGACTGTAGGGGCCCTGTCTGCTCTCTGAGATCTTTGAAGAGGGTCTCAGCCTTCGTGGTGCTCTCCTTCCTCTGAACTCATGGCATTTGTCTTCTTTTTTTTTTTTTTATTTATTTATTTGAGAGAGAGAGAGAATGAGAGAGAGCACATGAAGGGGAGAGGGTCAGAGGGAGAAGCAGACCCCCTGCCGAGCAGGGAGCCCGATGCGGGACTCGATCCAGGGACTCCAGGATCATGACCTGAGCCGAAGGCAGTTGCTTAACCAACTGAGCCACCCAGGCGCCCCGGCATTTGTCTTCTAAACCACTATTTAGCATTTACCCCTCTTCTTTTCCCATGACAACTCTTATCGTATTGTGGACCTGTGGGAGCTTCGCTTAGGGAGAAGTTTGTATCATCTTCTCAGAAAGAAGTAACTTTTTATACATTAGGTAACTTGAATACAGAAGGTGCTCAAAGCACTTGTTTAGCAGAGTTTCTCAGTAGTGGCACTATTGACATCTTGGGTTGGATAATTCTTTGGCTTTGGATGAACAAGGGAGCTGTCCTGTGCCTCGTAGCATAGTTAGCAGCATTTCTGGCCTCTACCCATTAGCACTCCCCTACTTCCCCAGTTGTGGCAACCAAAAAGTGTGTCCAGACATTGCCAAATGTCCCCTGAGCTGGGTGTGTGTATGTGTGTGAAGCATCCTCTCCTCTACTTGTTGAGAACCACTGTGTTAAAGGATTGAAGGCTAACTTCTAATTTTGTAAAAAGAAATAAAAAAGAATGTTTGGTTCCTTGGGATTGGAGCCATTTGTTAGTTTCTATTCCAATATGTAACATTCTCATACATTTTTGGTTTGCCTCTTCGATTTTGCTATTGTCTATCAGTCAGCTTTGAAGTATATCTTCCCTTCTGTGTGCTTCCATCGAAAGAGCTGGGGCCTGAGCATCTGACAGCCTGGCTTCTGATCCTCATGGAAAGCATTCTCTCTGTCTTGATCTTGCTTGCTCCAGAAGGCTAGTTCCTGGGAAGCTGAACACTGTGGGTATAAAGGAGAAAATGAAAGGTATCTAGAATGTAACAGTAACAGTAGCTCACATTCATGGAGCAGTTGCTGTAGACCAGGTGAACAGAATTGGCAGGATTGACTGTAAGGGATAGAAAGCCGAGGGAACAGGACAGGGACCATCTGGGACAACATCTTAGGTTTGGGTTCAGGGTTGGTAGTGACTTTAGCCAAAACAGTACATACAGCAGGAGGCTCAGGGAATGGAAGGGTGACTAGGTAAAGTTTGAAGGACCTGAGGAGATGTCTCATGAGTCTAGTCC